AAAATCTAATTTTTCCCTATGTTTTCCCTACATTTTCCACTTTCTTTCTTGGGTTTTCCCTATTAGAGGGATTTGGCTACGTGCGAAATTCTTTTTTCTCGAATATCTACGGAACGGCGCCGAGTTGAAATTCGATACGCGTATCCTCGGATTGCAAAACATTCTCCGAATCCATCGATATTATTCTCATCTTCGTACAACTTTAATCGTCCGATATATTAATAAAAAACTGCGCAAACGTTAATTTCCGCGCTCATTTTTCCGCGTGGCAACGATAAACTAATGGCGACATACACTTTAGCCGCTTAGATATATAAAGATTCTCATCTATTTAAATTGTACAAGAGTTTAACAACGATATTTAAAGCTGTTACAACCTCTTTCCCAACTAAGAGAATTTTTTCGAAGAGAAAAGTTCTGTAAAATTCGAAAGTTTATGAGCTCTGCTTTTTTATTTTAGAGAAGGCAAAGAAATGCCTGTCACCGCAACAGCATCTGAATATTTGGACAACATACACAAATTTGTAATAATATATTTTTTCCAGTCCTTAAAGTAAGTAGCGAACCAACAGCATCAAAATTTATTTTAGTGAATATTTCGGAAATGACTAATACTAACGTCTTTAAAGCCTTCCTTTTTGTCATTTCCCTTCCCAGCGCGCTGACAAGCATCACAGGTTTTTTACAAAATCTTCAGTTTCTTTGTAACACCTCGTCCAATAAAAATGTCTGGTCAGCCTATCTTTGGTCTTTTTAACACTTTCCGGCACGCTACCTTTTAAAATTGGAGTTTTAATTTAAAAAAAAAAAAAAAAAAAAAAAAGGTAGGCAGTCTAATTAGGCCTAGAGGAGTACACAAGTAAAATTTTGTGAAGATAGCACTTATCGTTTTAATTCTGTGGGTGTGCCGAATGCAGACTCTCAGTTGTCCTAGATTATCGGTGAGCCTGGTCTGGGCACACCTAGGGTTCGCCGTTTGATTTTAGGCAAGATTTCAAGGTAAAACTTTAAAACTAATATAGAATAAGGAGATTAGAATACAGCCAAAAAATAACATAGAAATTTCTTTTTAAACAATTCCTTTTATACCCTAAAAAAATCTGGAAGATTTCTTTGAAAAATGAGGGTCTTAAAAAACTAAACATGGCTAAAATATATGGACTGGTTTGTGTGGAGCTGCCGTCTACTATAAATAAAGAAGGTTCAGAGTAACCTATAGCAACATATACATCCTTTTTCATTAAATTTTTTTGTGCGTACAGAAGGACATTTTTAGGTGTGTTCAGACCGGACACACTGTGCCGCAAAGGGTAAACACCCGAATGATCAGAATTTCCTTCGTGGCACATTTTTATAGTTGACAACTTGAGAGTTTTTCAAGTATAGCTACAAGCTGTCTTTCAAAGCCCATTTAGTATGTTGAAGTCGTGCAACTTTTTTTCAGTCAATGGTTACTAATTTCGTGAGAGATTCATCTTATGTGCTTAATACCGGTCATTTAACTTCCACAAAGCCATCTCTAGTTGCTCCAATTTCTTCCTTAATCTGTTCCAAGATCTTCTTTTCATAGCTTTTAGATATTTTTCTTTTCCTTTGAGCTCTAATAGAGACAGCTTTAACCTGCTATCACTAATATTACGTTCAGTGATGATCTAATAAAATAAGGCAAGCACACTTGCAACTAACTTCAACCTCAGTTAGTGCACACTTGCAGCTAACTGAAGTTGAAGCTCTTTCGTTTTCGTGGTACTCAAAAATTCAGTTCCACTAAAGACATCGTCCACATACAAATTCTTTATTGAGACTAGCGTAGCTAATGGAAACCTCCGACCATCGACAATTGCTTAGGGCTAAGTACGGAGCAGTAACTGCACCGATCACATTATGTTTCTGCTACGAGAGACTGGACGTCGAAAGGGACAATTCTCAGAGCCCGCTCATTTCCAGGAAACCCACGTAGCTAGGTTACCCTTTTCACTTACTAAAAAGAAGATTTTTGGAAGATGGAAAGAAGAAAAATGAGCAACGACCTCGAGGGAATCGAACCACGGACCTCTGGAATACGCGGCCTGCGTGCAGACCACTACACTGCGAAGGCACGCTAAGAAGGCGGGAGAAATACCTTATATACTCCCCCTTTTAAAGGCGACTGGGGTTTTTAGGGAACGCAATCGCCAAATCCTGGGTGTGGAAAATCATCATCCCCCACCCTTTTAGTTCGGGTGCCACTGTAGAGCTATTAGGTATTTTGGAAAGCAGAAGTGATGAAAAATGAGCAACGCCTTCCCCGGGAATCGAACCACGGACTTCTCGAAAACGCGCCCAGCGTGCAGACCCTTACACTACGAAGGCATGCTAAGAAGGCGAGAGAAATACTTTATAAGGTTAAGTTATGAATATGGCAAAGCCACAAGGGCTATCTGTTCTTCGAATTACCAGTATTTAGCGGTTTTAACCACTAGGCCACTGGTGGGGCTAGACATGAATTGACTGAAAGGATATAAATTATTGAGACTAGAAAGCAGTATACACTTTAATTTTAAAATATTAAAAATAATTGCTTTTAATGTAATAATTAGATAATTAGATGCTAAGTTTGGAGTTCTTTACATTAAAATTTAGAATGTAACAAATGGCCCATAATAATAAAAGCCTACATGAAAAAGTACACGATTTTTATCAACATAGATGATAATTTTTAACAATACAAATTATATGTAGGATTGTAATTATAGTAAAAAGTTCTATTTTAGTGCTATTAAAATTATTTTTGTTTTCTCAATAACGTTTAGCGCATGGGTCTGACATAAATTCTTCCAAGCAGTCTTAGTCACCTAAGACAACAACCTGATAATTGAAAACTCCTGAATTGGGGAGAGGTATGTATAATTCATCAATAGATTTAAAGTTTTATTGCTTTTGTTACCTCTTCTTTATGAAGTTTGACACATATTTTCATTTGCGTATTTAACTTCAGGTTTCTTCTTAAGGTATGTTAATTTCTAAAATTAGAAATGCTGCACGGGTATTTCTATGGGAAGTCGTCAGGAACACTTGAAAAAAAATAAAGGAATAAAATAATAGCTAAAGCATTAACTAACGAATAAAATAAAATAAAAAGGGATAAAAGCATTAATGAATTAACTTATATTAATGATAAAAAAGTAAATAAATGAATTGAATTAACATAATGTTTTCAAGTGAAAAACTTATAAATGTTAAAAAATGTTAAAAATTGAGTGATATAATAAAACATATGAAAAATGAGTAAATGAATAGAAATAAAATTTTATACCGAAGATAGAAAGGAAAAAATTATTTTGATTAGTACTTCTTGTATTCAGATAAAACTGTATCTTTATTTTCGCTTCTAATCTTTTTAAAGCCATTTTGACTATATGAGTAAGTCTTAAAAATTTCTCTTACTTATGAGATCGCATTTTAACATGAAGGATTTTTGTTTCAGTTGCTCAAGTTTTCCCAGTTTGCCTTTCCCTGGGAAAATGAGGCATTCATTCAGTATCTACTACACACTATTAGTTATACTAACTACTAAATAAAATGATGCATTGCTAACAGGTTATCTCTTAACACTGCGATTCATTTGCACGACCAAGTATCAGGACTTGTCTTTTTACAAAATTCACTTTGCTTAAAATAGGTACTACCAATAAATGTTTTAAAATAGATACCAATAATGCACTGAAATCTCTGAATCCATCCTTAATCCACAGATTAATTCTAGTAGTATCAAACAGCTAATCTGGCCTATTCTCTTCAAAATAAATAAATAAATAAATAAAAAGTTTGAAAGGTTTCAGATTTTAAATTATGTCCAAAGGGGCGTTTTTTTAAACATTTTGTATGTTACCTTTATTATTAAATATCACGTTCTTCGCACTTAAACCATAAAATTCAGTTCAACAGCAATATCGCAGAATAGTTTTAAAATAAGAATATCTTTAGAATTTCCGATACAGAAACTCGCGCGTTCGAGATAACAATATTTTTTCTGTACAACGTTGCCATCGCTTGCTTTGAAATCCTTGAGTTTGCTAATCACAAATTCGTTAAAGTTTTACAAAATATGAAATCGATAATAAATCAAATTCCAAATTTCAAATTTGGGGTTCCAGATGCCCATATTCGCAGGAGGATTACGTTATTCAAAATTGGATGGCTCTAAGTACCGTTGCTTTATCACAATGCGAGAAACATACATACCTTTATGCAGATTCTTCATTATTTAATTTCTTCAAATATAATACAGGACAATAATATTTGGTGGCAACAATTTGAAAAGTGAAACATCACTTGTAGTGAATCAACGCAAAATGCCAAAACAAAATTAATAGTCCTTCTAGGCAAGCTGCTCTTTTGGACTATTAAAACCCCTTCTTCAGCTTTATGAACTATTAAATAGCTAATTTTCATGCAGTACGTAGTTTGAAAATATTTTTTTAAATCTTTTTAATTACTACAAGTATCTTCGACACTAGGTTACACAAAGAAAGGCCACTTTTAATATATTGTCTTAATTTCTTGCACATATTTCAAGATGACGTTCTTACAAGCATCAGAGAGAATATTCTAGGCCGTTTATATACGGCCTTACCTGTCATAGAGGGTTAATGTCCACCATTTTAAAATGATTTCCTACCACAGAAAAAAGACACATTCGCAAAAAGCAGTAGATGAAGTAGACAAATTGACAAATACTCTTACAACAGAATGTTTATAAGACCTCATAGGTTTTAACCAGGACAATTTATTAAATTTTCTGGTTTGAAATGGTATTAAATAAAACAACACTGTTTAAAAGGAAGACAAATTCCTTAGAACAGTTAAAATAATTCATTCAGGATTTTATTTTTACGACTGGATATATGTTCTCTGGTACAGAAACATGAGACTAATGTTTACACAAATAAACAGTTTCGCGTACTAATATTTTCACAAAAGAAAAGAAAGAAATTACAACATATTGCATCAAACCTGTCGAGGATCCGAAGTATATTCTAGATTTTCCGGTTTTGATGTACAGAAAACATGATTGGAGAAAGTGAAAGTCTTTGAACTGGTAATCTATTCAAAGGCAAGCGTCCCTTCCTGTGGTAAGTGATGAAAAATTCTTTCTTTACAAATTCGAGTTATATTTTCGGGTATAAAGTTTAATTTTGAATTAATACTCATATCCTTTTATCAGAATATTTAAATAGTTGCGTCATTTATTCGTAATATTCATTGCATAACTTTTAATTTAACTTTAATTCATTGGATAACATTAAAGTGAAAGTGGTATTTTGTGCGGAAAGCAGTCTTCTCTAGATTTGCTTTGCTTGTATGAAACTGAGCTTAAAACCACATTAGACTGGTGTAAATTTTATAGGTTTTTATTTAAAATATACGCCAAACTAAGGGGGTTTTTTGAAGTGGGGAGGTCTAATTTTAATTTTCATACAAGCGTGCTTGTGTTCTACACTGCTTATTTCCGTTAACAGAAAGAAATCTGTTGTACAAAATGAATAGTAAAATAATTATTATGATTAGAATAATTTTTAATTTCGTTAGTCTCGCTAGTCATTAAAAATATCTGCCATCTGTGTTCTGTAATTGTTTTTTAACTTTAATATCTGCAGTTTAACTATAAGATAACATTTTACTTTCTTTCTGCACTTTCATATTTATTTAATGTAAGTTTGTAGTAACAGCCGACATTTAAAATAATAATGCTAACGTAATTTATTTTGGGACTCATAATTTCGGAAACGTTCATGACAGAACTGAGATGAGACAGACTAGACAGACTATTGGGTATCACTGTGACTTATGATTTGCCCTCGAATTTAAGTAATTCTTCAAAAAATGTCTTCCTTTCAGAGAGAACCTGCCATCATTTGAAATATTATTTAAATAATTATATTAAGAAAAATATTGAGAAAAAGGCGCAAATTGAGAATATTTATTTTAAAATGGTTCGTTAATATTTAATAAAACAAAACACTTATATTTCAAATCAAAATCAATCTGCGCTTAAATTTTGCTCGAAGTGTAGCTTGTAAGAAATGGTTCTTAGTATTTAAAAAAAAATCATTTTGTCGGAAAAATGGGTTTGGTCACTTAATATAATTCTGAAGGATGGGTTTTAAAATTCAGATGCGTTTTCCTGTATTTTGAGTAATGATGTTTCCAGTCAATTTTTTACTTATATCAAGTGATCAATATCGGAGATCAAAGATCATCATTCGTTAAGTAGTTGTTCGATCCGAAGGCATTTACCACTAACATGTTTATCAATTCCCTAAGGACCTGTAAAAGTTCGTAAAATTCCATAAAAATGGGAAAGCCCTGTGCACTTGTAATAAAGCGCAAAATCTTCAGCAGTGAAAAAGTTGATCAGGGGTGACGCCATATATCGGTCACAGATGAAATCTTCGTTGGATAAGCAATAATAGCAACTAATAATTTTGGCATATCTTTTATACATTATCGTAGATCTGACACAGTATCGTACAGTAAAAATGGAAAATAATATATACATTCTGCTTTCGCATATATATATTTCCGCATATATATTTCTGCTTTCGTCTGAGGCGAAAGTACCTATATCTTAATACGCATAGGGAAGTAGACTGTCACGTGATATACGAATTTAATGATGATAAAGTCAGCAGCCTTGGTACCGGGCAAAGTCCATAGTAAGATGAAAATGATGATAAAGATGAAACAAAATCTAGATTAAATAGTTGAAAATAATAAAATATATACAAGAACTACCATCTAACATTATGATGTATAGTTCTGGGCCGTTTATGCGGCTGTTCGATTAGATAGTCGTACTCCCCTATGTTTTTAATAACTTCGTGAGTGGAGGAATCACATTTTTCGTAGAATTTGAATGTAATCTTTAGTAATTCGGCATCTAATGGTAAAATCTTTAGAGAATTATGGATGACAGTGTTCCTAACGAACCACGGAGAGTTCGATAGGAATCTGAGAGTTTTACTCAGAAAACTTCGAAGCCTTGCTCTGTTTGAACGTGCAGTAGCTGCCCACGCCGGAGCGGCATATGGGTCGGATTGCCTGTAGATAGAGTGTTCTTTTAGCGTTGATATTTAACTTCGAATATGTTGCACATCATGGGGTATATGCTCATTAAGGCACTTTGTACTTTGATATAATTGACATGAAATTCGAAAGTTAACTTCTGGTCGAGATAAACACCTAGATATTTTACTTGGTGGTCACGTGACACGATTTGTCCGTCCATTGTAATTTCTTCTAAGTCTTGAGGGATATTTCCTTTTTTAGAGGAAGTCACTTTTGATTTTTCGGGGTTAATTTTAATTTTCCATCCTTTAAACCAGGGTGAAATGTAATTAATGGCATTCTGTAGTTTATTTCTTGCATGATATGGATTAAGTGAGTGACATAAAAGTGCCGTGTCATCGGCATAGCATGCAGTGAGAATATTTTCAATATTAGGAAGATCATTAATATATAAATTATAGAGAAGCGGGGAAATTACCGACCCCTGTGGTAAACCCGCGTGAATTTTTCTTGTGGTGGAATAGTTATCTTGAATCTTAACTTGAAAATTTCTGTTCTTTAAAAAAATCAGCGATTAGATGGATGATGACAGGCAGGTCATTATAGTTCATCAGATGATGCCAAACTTTATCGAAGGCTTTCTCTACGTCCATAAAAACAGCAGCAACTACTTCCTTTTTATTAAAATTTTCACCTATGAATTCTACGATTCGGGCGATCTGCTGAGTCGTTGAGAATCCCTGGCGAAATCCGAATTGATGGTCTTTGATGATGTTATTTTCATTAATAAAAGTGGTGAGTCGAGACTCGATAAGCCTTTCGAAAAGTTTGGCAATCGCAGGCAGAAGACTGATCGGTCTAAAGTTACTTGTGAGATTTCCAGCTTTGCCAGGCTTTTTAATGACAGTTAGAATGGCGTGTTTCCAATTTTTTGGGAATGTATTAAGTCTTAAACATGCGTTAAAAATATTTGTAATAAGAACGATGCCTTTCCTTGGGAGGTATTGCAGGGCCTTATTAGTGATATTGTCATATCCAGATGCTTTCTTTGGATTAAGTTTCTTTATATTTTCTGTATTTCTTTGGGAGAAGTCGGGTTGTTTTGATTTTCAGGATCTTTGCAGAGGAAATCGGTCACGTGATTGATAATATTGATATCATTCGGGTGTGGGAAATTATTTATATTAAACTGTTGTTCATAGTTATCAGCGAAGAGGTTGACAATTTTCTTATGATCGTAAATTTTGGTATTATTATCATCTAGAATGGGTCCAATATTGGAGGGAGTGCTTCGGAGAGCTTTAGCAACTTTCCACACAGAGTGGTCGGTGTGCGAAAGACTTTCAATGAAGTTATCCCAGCAATTGTTTCTGTACTCTTGGATAAGTTTTCTGAGGTTTCGATTGGCAGCATTAAATCTTCTTTTGTCTTGGGTGGAGTGGGAACGTTGATAAATTTTTCTTAGTCTATTTTTTCTCTGTAATTTTCTGTCTAATATTGTGTGGGAGCGTATAATTAGTCTGTTTTGGAATAAATTTGGCGTGGTTGATGGCTTCGTTGATTTTACTGCTAAGATAGACTGTGGCATCATCATGAATTTCGCTGTTATTAGTCATTTTAGTGGTAGCAGATATGTTTTCTTCAAGGTGATAAGCATAGTTTTCCCAATTAATGCGACACTTTATAGGCGGAAGACCATGCTTTAAGCCATATAAAGTGAAGCGTACTGGTAGGTGATCTGAAGAAAGTTCATTATCCACTTGGAGAAAAGGTATTTGAGGAACACTGAAGGTAATTAAGATGTCTAATACATCAGAAGTATTTGAGATTTGATGAAGATGCGTTGGTTCATTTGGGCCATAAATGTTGATATCAGGGTTGTTGATGATGTAATTATTAAGAATAATTCCGTCTGGATTATTTCGCCTGGAGTTCCAGTTAGCGTGCTTACAATTTAGGTCCCCAGCAATAATAGTAAGTGATCAATAATGAACTCGAAATTACAGGAAGAGCAGACGATAAAGAGGCAAAGAACTTAAGAATCAAAACTGAAAAATAATTTGAAATATTATATCATGTTTCATTGTGTTCAAACAGTCGATGGGTAACATGCTAAACAATAGACCTATCTTAAGAATACGTGTGAATTAAATGAAAATTGCTTTCACATCTTACCAAATTCACGAGTATATAAAAGATTTTCTTCTTAGAAGTGTTTTTGAAGTATTAGAAGTATATAGAAGTATCTTTGAAATACATATATTTTTAAAATATATAAAACATACCTTTTAAATATTTATCAATAAATCTAAAAAATGCTAGATATGTGTCCTAAAGAGAAGGGAAACGAACTGAAATGTAAGAACTTTCCTAAAGCACATATTCTTAATAATCAAAAATTAATAGCTTTAGTAAAGAACTTTTACAGTTGTAGGATTTTGTGTTTATTAATTCATTATCATATTAGTTTTATTTTTACTGTCACTTCTGTTTTCGTCGTCTCCCACCAGTATGTAAATTAGTTAACATATATAAGAACATAGTTCTTAAAATTAAAGCCTTTTGGTAGTAACTCTGACTAGTTTAAACTATTTCCGCTGAAATATTCCTTTCAACTATACCGGAACAATTTATTGCACAGCCTCTAAATTACCTGAATCGGCTTTAGCCTTTCCTAGCGATGTTTACTCACGTGATTTGAGGACTTGAGCGAAAACTTAGGGACTTATGGATTTATATTTTGATTGCTTAAGTTTACATTAACTTTTGTTAATCTCGCGAGAAACGGCGATTTGTTCTGTTACTGTACAAGCTGTGTAGTTTGTTAAACTGAAGATATTTTAAACTTTCTTCTAAGTACGGTGTTATTTTATTGAAAGATTAAGATGGAGAGATCAGTTCTCTCATTTTCTACGCGGTGCCAAAATTATTTTTTAAGTAATTAGGTTCTGTACACAGTAATTAAAAAAAATAAAAGAAATTTATTAAAAGTTTTTTATAACTGTAGTAATTTCCATTACTGTTTGGTGTAGGCAAATGACTTTAGGCGAATAAATTACTGTATATTTATAAATGTATGCATTTTGTATATATGAAAATATTAAAAAGGTATATATATATAATAATAATAGTAAAATTCCACAATCAAGAATACACTTAAAATTCTAACTGTATGTTCTTTTAATTTTTTAATTTTAATTCTTTTAATTTTAATTTTTAATGGCGACGTTCTCTTATTTGAAAGTACGTGGAATTAAATCCACAGCCCCGTAGTCAAGTGTTCTTCCCGCCTTTTCTACACGTACAGTTTGTATTGGCTGACGTCATTTCTTGGAAGCTCCGCCTTTCCAGAGGCTATAAAAAGACTCGCAAAAGGAATATCGGGGCTTTTTCTTAAATGTCACGATGCAGTAAACTTCATACAAAAAGTTATTAGTAATTCTTTTTATTTACTCCGGATATCTGATTTTTTTAATTGCTATTTCTCCTGAATAATAATAAATGGATTCTGTTTTTTAAACTTATCGTCTGATTATTTAAGCTACGACTAAAGCTGATACATCACATATATATACATATAAATGCCTAAATTATATACATATACATGCCCAAATGGTAATGCGATTATGACATCATACATTCTACACTGCAAGTACTAATGTATGTTTTTGTTAGTATTATATTATACAGTGCTATACATATTTTAAATCGTTTTACGATTAAAAATATTAGTTTAAACAGACATAAAAATAGACATACACCTAGATCTTTGTGTATATATATAAATGGTTATTTAGAAATGTTTAATTATATACGATACTTAAAGAGTAATTTTATTACTATAATTTATTATTATAGTTATATAATGTATATGTTAATAACAAATGTATACTATTTATTATAAATTATTAGGCTCGTATATTTAAATGAGATTGCTAATTTTTTTCCATGCGTATCATTATTACCCAAAGTTGTAGAGACATTAGGATTTTTCGAAAGCAAGAGAGATTGAAAAATATGCACCGCCTTCGCCGGGAATCGAACCGAGGACCTCTCAATTACGCGCTGAGCGCGCAGACCACTACATTCCGAAGGCTTGTTAAGAAGGCGGGAGAAATACTTTATATACTCTCTCTCCCTTTTAAAGGACGACTGGGGTTTTTTAGGGGACCCAATCGCCAAATCCTGGGGGAAGAGAATCATCATCCAACACGCTTTTTTTTAATTCGGGCGCCAGTGTACAGACATTAGGATTTTTTGGAAGCAAGAGAGATTGAAAAATATGCAAATCTTTCACCGGGAATCGAACCGCGGATCTCTCAGTTACGCGCTGAGAGTATCACTACACCACGAAGGCATGCTAAGAAGGCGGAAGAAATAACTTATAAATAATTTTAAAAAAGAAACAAAATAAATATTTAGGTAATTTTAAAACAGACGTCAGAAATGCATCTTTTAATAACGAAAACTTCAAGTAAGATATACTTCAAGTAAAATATACTCAAATAAATATGCTATAATTCTTTATATGATTCTCTGCCATATAAATTTAAAATCTTAAGTAGGTACAATACTGATGCAAATTAAAAACCCTCTTTTAAAAACTTTAATTTGAACTGCGATTTTAATTTAGGTAAACACTAGGTAGTCATAATAATTACTAATAAATATTATGCACTATACGCACTTATTGTATTAAAGTCCTTTACTCTAGACTGAATAAGTTATTATTGCTAGTATGGTAAAAATTAATTTAAATAAATATGCAGATATATATTCACATATGTCTACGTTGTATCTACTGGAAAAATAAGCAAAGTCTTGTTGATATGTTTGTGTCACATCTGGTGCTTTTTTTTTTTTTTTTTTTTTTTTTTTTTTTTTTTTTTTTTTTTAGGCTAAAGTTTCAGAATGTTATTTATTGCTCTACCTCTGTTAAATTTGTGCCTGGCCACAGGTACCAGAGCAGCCCCCATACCTCTGGAAATGGTGGATATGTCATATGTTTTTGATGAGACGACACTGCATTGGCCAACGCAAAAGGAATTTGAGATGAACGTCAAGTTCAACGGAACGACTGGTGAAGGTTATTGGTAAGCGAAACACCATTTCTGTACGGCTCACATTAGTTAAAATTGAGGTAAATTTTATAAACTCTAAATACTGCAATACTTCCTTGATTATATAGTAGAATTTTCCAAAGATAATGGTAGATATATGAGCAGTAAAACAAAGCACAAAATTAGAAAATGTAACAAAATATACTGATATTAATTACGTATTTTCCAGGGTATAACTCGCACCGGTGTATAGCACGCATCTATAATTTCAAGCTATATTTTTTAACTTTTTAGGTATATTCTCCATATAACGCGCACCCAATTCTTCACGAAGAAACCTAAAAGATACATATGCAATGCTCTAATCTTTTGAGGTCATTTATTTGAAGATTTGTACTAGCCCTTCGAACAATCGCATACCGAATTAACAAGGGGAATAATATGTGTGTGGGTTAAGTGCTTGAGGAAGTAAATAGTCCTGCAAGGAGGGTTTACTGTATTCAATGCATATGTCTAATAGAATGCTATTATACGGTTTCGAGAAAAGGGGCAGATATTTTTGTGTAAGAATGCTCTTCCAACCTGAATCAATTCATGGAATTGGGAATTAGATGTTTTCTCTTTCTGTAATCATTTAAATCCGTGATTTTGAAGTGAAAATCGAAGGCTTTAGTAAATGGCATTTGCTGTAGTTGAAATTAGTTGACCTAGTGTTCCTTTTAGGAGTTAATATGGCTCGCACGAGGAGAAACAAACGCAGTGCTGGTTTCAAATGCAAAGCCATTCGAAAGAAAATGGAAATCGTGCTGCAGCAAGGGTATTTGGTGTTGGTGAAGGATGGAGAGGATGATGATGATAATTTATTTATGGATCAGAGTAACAGTGATGATGAAGATGAAACAGAATTCGATGAGGTGTCTGAAACGAAGATGAACTTTCCATGTTATCCGATAATGAAAAATTGGTTAATCTTCGGATTATGGTAACTTGGCGACTTTTTGGCGAAAATTTGGCGACCAACCCTGCTACAGCAACCTGCTAGTTTTTTTTTTTTTTTTTTTTTTTTTTTTTTCCCTCAACATTTTTTTTCGTCCAACAATCTGCTAGCCAATTAAGCTTATGCTAGAACTTTGATGGAACAAAAGTGCTTACTCATGACGAAGATTAGGTGCGAAATCGGGAGAAAGTGCAGAATCGCCCACTGCTTGCCGCGTTTTTAAGAATTGCACATACACGGTATCCACGTACACGTCGACCTATTTTCACTTAAAAAAAAATCCCAGAATTGCACAAAAATAGCATTGCGCACACTCTTGACTTTATCAATGTACACTGCTAAAGTCCTAGCTTGCTTGCCGCGTTTTTAAGAATTGCACATACACGGTATCCATGTACACGTCGACCTATTTTCACTTAAAAAAAATCCCAGAATTTCACAAAAATGGCATTACGCGCACTCTTGACTTTATCCATGTACACTGCTAAAGTCCTACCTAGTAAGCTTTATCGCCGTACCAAAATGTCGCCTAACTACCTGTTACCATATTCCAAAGATTAGCCTAAAAATTTTAAGTTCATAAGGTACGTCATTTCTTTTAAATAAACAGCATTTAGGTACATACAGAAATTTAATTTTTTTAAAGCTCATTCCTTATTTTTAAATCTATCATTCTGATACTCGACGTATAACACGCGTACCCGTAAATTTTGCTCTTATTTTTTGTATTGAAAGTGAGCGTTATATTCCGGAATATACGGTAATTAATTTTACAACTGATTTTTGTCAAAAGAATTTACCAGGAGAGAAAGAACACGTGCATTAAAAGCAATACCACCACAAGGCGACATATCCAAATAACACAGCATCGGTTGGTTGGCTATTGTTTGATATTTATTATATCGGTTTTATCTCACGGTTATCTGGCGGTATATCGGTTTTATCGATATTTATTTATTATATCGGTTAATTTTACCTTAATTTTCTAAGATTCATCGCATCGCCATCGCTAAAATCGCTGGACTACAGTCCGAACATCGCTAAGTCCGAATAGAAAACATTTAAACCTTAAAATTGTATATTCTTCTTTACTGTCACCGAACCAAAGAAATTTTAAATAATTCCCATATTTTTTCTAAGATCCCTAAATGTGTCTAATTGGAAAAAAAAAATCTGATGTGTACACCACATGACTTCCTTGTACGGAATATTAAATTATACTCATTTTTTTCTTGAATTTCATTTAAATTGATTGGAATGAATAAAATCTACTTCGTCGACAGCGCATAAACCACGATAGAATAAATGCACTCTTTAAAATTCACTATATTTGTTTACTATAACGACACTCTGAATGCAGAAAATTTATATCATTTGAAGAATTATCTTATCGTTGCCACATGTTCTATTCAAATACTATAATAAAGCTAGAACGATGTATGAAAGAAATTAAGAAAACAAAACAGAAAAGAAACAGTTTTTCACAGACGATTTATTATTTCTCATTCAATTAATTCAGTTCTCACTGAGCGAGAAGGCAAAAATACATAAAAACTCAAAATATCTGTATTAAAAATTACGAAGTAAATCTTAAACACTTATTTCCACGAAAAAATTCCAGAAAGGATTAAGCATGATTTAATTCGCAATAATAAATGAAGGCGTTTGCGAAGCTTAGTCTCTCCAGATTGGCAACAAATCTACAATTCTGCTGTTTCAAATGTAAACAAATATGTCCGCCATGTTATTTAAACTTAACCGCACTTAAACAGCTTTTAAATTGTTGATAATTGTACAAATATTGCTTCCAGAATTACGAAAGGCATAAAAACCTTAACCGGAAGATAAGAACAACATAATTCAATCATTTTTAAAGCAAAAAATGTACAATTTACAAACATATACGAGTAAAGAAACTGAGATCACTGAGTCGGGTAACAGAGTGGATATATATATAAATATAGTATTTATATAAGTTTGGTGCGGCCGATTGCAACCAAAATACGAGGTGCACATCTGCATGTTATAGCAGTCCTATATACAAAATTTCAACGTTCTGAGGCTACTCGTTTTCGAGTTATGCGAGATACGTTCGTACAGACGCCAGGAAAAATTCTCTTCAGAATTAATTTTAAAGCAGTTTTATAATTTTTTTGGAGGAAGTCTAGTCTTTTATTCTGTCCTTACGTACAGATGTCACGCAAAACATCGTTAAATTGCATTCGATAGCGGTCAAAATGGATATTTTCTTTGAAATACGCTGCCTGAAACTTTTCGCGATTACAATACTTCCTTTTTACTTCGTACAAGGAAGTAAAAAAAGCCGTGTCTGTATCTCCGCTGAAAGCAATTTCATATTTACGAAATTTTAAGATTATATCCAAAATCCCTGGAAATAATCTAGGTACACTTTACTGCAATTTTTTACAGTCATACTTAGCATGTTCGAAGTGGAGGCTAGGTATTTTTTTTCTCTTGCGTCAGTACATGTGAAGCTTTATGACCTTCAATTTCACGTTTTATGAAGTCCAACAAATGTGGTACTGAAATTTCTTCGCTGTGTTTTTTTCCTTCGATTAAATTCCAGAATGAATTCTTCTAGAATAGATTTTAACAGAACGGGTATTAATAATTGATCAAATGAATCTTTCATAACATATTACGCTTCCAGATTCTGAACTGCAAATTCGATTTCATCACATAGAATACTTAAAGCATTATTATTTTCATAAATCTTTACTTGTTCTAGATTTAACAACTAGTTCACTGACTCATTATTATTTCTTTTGTCCCAAATCGTTCCTTCAAAGTTTTTATACTCTCGTAATAATTCATTTCGTTCAATAATAATGAAGATCGCATTATTCGCGCAAACTATGAGCAATGTGCACGAATTTTTCTATATAATAATCTTAATAAGACTTTCGTTTTTGTCTATAATGCATTTGCAACTCTTTCAAAAATCCGTGAATTTTTTATGATCAACTGAATATTTTTTAACACAGTTTTTGAAGGTTTTAGAATACTTTATACATTTTGAAGTCTAAACCTGTTTTGCTACCGATCTTTGATACTTGTTTCATCCTCTTCTGCTAACTCTCGATTAAATCGATTAATGGCTCGAGAACATTTTCCCTGATATTCCACGGATTTCACTATTACGCTTCCTAATAATCTATATTACAGAACGAATTGCACCAGCTAATTCATTTAAACTCCTTTTCCTTTTCTAACAACAATTCTTGCAGCAATCCCATTTTAAATCTAGCACATACTTCCTTCCCCCCTCAAACGCTTCTTAAACGTTACTCTTGGTGCACGCATCAACTTTGCTCGCGAGCCTTGGTTTCTCACATCACATTATCATGTCATGTGCTAAATATGTGTATAACTTGTTCTACTTTACGATGGGGTATGTGATCTGTGTAACAATAGATGTTTAAAATCTCACAGATGCATTACGTTTTCTAATATATCACTGCAAATAATGCGATAGCGAGTTCCCATTCATATGCTGCGTCCTAGATATTCTGGGTAGCATATTTCACAAGTGTACATCTGTGTAGCCACCGAGGGAGTGATTTCTAGGATGGACCAATGGACATCCAGTAATATTTCTGTCATCTCACATTATCTTTCGCGTGCTTTAAGATTTAAGCAAGATGGTTGAAATATTCTGCCATGCAATTTTCTGTACAAACTAATTAAAGCATCATCGATTTTTTCTGAAACTTTTCATTGTAAAATTGGATCAAATATAAGCAATTGTGAAGATTTCACTGCCTGGTTGAAGGAATTTGAAATAAATACAAACAAATGCTGGATACTCCGCAAAAATAGCCATGTGAAATATTACTTAATAAGTGGTAAATAAGATGAAGAAAGAAATATGTGATAACATCTGAGCCCAAATGATATCTTTACATAAAACTATGCATATGAGAAAAATAGTTATACCAATTATATATGCAAATAGAAGTCAGCAATTTTTATTGCAGTTTATATGAAAAATATGTTATAATAACCAATGCAGAATTTTGTTCAAAGTGAACTTTACTAATTTGGATGCGTATATATTTAGTGTGTTAAATTTCACATTTAATAACTGCTCACTCTTACATGTACTGTCTACTCAAGAAGTACTCATCAAACTGAACGAATTTATCTTATTCACAACGAATATATTCAGTTTACTCACGTATTAACTTTTAATGTTAACAATGGATTATCAGATCATACGCAATATTACTCTGAACCTTACACTTTAAAAAGCAAAAGAATCCAAGCACTGAGATAAGAAACACTAGATTCATTGTAACACTTCCAGTCCTTCTCAGCAGAATTAAAAAAAATTGTACACTTAAATTCTGTTAATCCACAGGTGTTAGTAAATGCACAATATTCGAGGCTAATTGTAGCTTGAGCCATTTTTTCTCAATGTAAAGAGCGATAATGTGCCGTGAACATCAATCCAAATATTAATGCGTGAGAAAAATCGTGAAAGTGAAATGTCAGCGATTAATTAAACTCATAAAACGAAAGCACTACGAGATTTTCTACCATTACCCATACATTTATAACTGTGAAACAAATACAATTTAAAACGTAAACAACATACGCTCACTGGCTTGAAGATTTAGCATCACAAAAACAATAGAAGCTCATTGGTCCATTTTCGAAACCCCTCCCTCAGTGGCTACGCTGATGTGCACTTGTGAAATATGCTTCCGGGTAATAGCATAATGCCACACTTTGCACCTGTAAAGTTTTTTTCGCATGCTGATTTATCTCTGAACTTATCGAAACGATTGTCATTGGGAAGTCCGAAAGCTTTCCTTGTTAGTAAAAAAATTCAAATATAATTATTTCTGATTTGTACATTTAAGGAGCATCTAATATAATAGCAGAAAAAATATATTTATAAGAACACAAAAATTGTTATTAAGTAAAAACTTGATCAAAAAAAGAATATTTTTTCATATAATATCCAGCGAACTTATTTCCAGCAAAATTCTTTTGAAATCGACAGCAGATGGGATTGATAAAGCATCATTTCAGTTTTCTTTTTAGTATAATTATTATCAAATAAATTTTGTCTTATCTTATTCAGTCACAGACTAGATACAAAATGAAATATTGTGGTTATACATGATATTTAAAGGTTACTAACCTATTTTAATTCTTAATTCGAAATTTAAGTAATAATATGTCATAGTTTTAATACAATTAATAATTCGAACTGCAAATTATAACTCATGATTTTAAAGTCATAGATTATTTTTCTTACCGTATAGGTGACATCATTAACTTAAAACCAGCAGTAGCATATCTTGTAATTTCACGAACATATAGAAATAAATTATGTGATGTTATTTTTTTCCATATTTAGATTAGATTTTGTTTTCTAGGCTGCAGCTAGAGGAATACAATTCAGCGATTCATGTTGGCACTCATATGGATGCGCCATGCCATTTTGCAGAAGGTAGATGGACTGTGGATGAGATACCGTTGCATCGCCTTGTGGGCCCAGCAGCTGTTATCGATATTACCCAAAAGGCGGAACAGAACAGAGATGCCTTTGTAGAGGTACAAGACCTGGAGAACTGGGAAAAATTAACAGGCCATAGACTGGACAATCACATTGTCATGATCCGTTCTGGGTGGGGTCGTCGTTGGCCAGATCGAGAAGCTTTTACAGGAACCCCCAACAAGGACGCTGACAATCTCCATTTTCCAGGTTTTTCTCCGGAAGCTGCTCAGTGGCTTGTAGATAACAGAAGAATTTATGGAGTTGGTACTGAGACCCTGTCTTTGGATTATGGACCATCAAAGGATTTCATGGCTCACAGAATTCTTCTGGGAGCGAATATTTATGGCCTAGAAAACGTGGCGAATGTGGAAAAACTTCCATTGTTTGGTGCTACACTTTACGCCATGCCCATGAAGATAGGTAAAGGCTCTGGTGCGCCTACCAGAATCTTCGCCACTTTCCCAAAAATACGTGCATAGCAAGAGCGATCTGAATCTTGTTATTAAAATTTTATGCATAATATAATAATTTCAGTTAAATGCTTTAGAAATACTCCTATTAATTCCGGTTATTGGAATATTGTGAAGAAAGTTTTCGCGTTTTGATACTTCTGATTGTAAAAGATATTGTGTTTATGTCTTTAGCTTCTAATAAAATAACAATTTTTAAAATTTTGAGTTTTGAATTTGATGTTTTACAGCTACAAATTTATAAAAGTTAGATGATTAAATAGTGAATTAATTTTTTCCCTTCTGCAAGAGAAGGGGAAAAAAAACCTAAGAAATTTTTATAAAAAATTATTATTTCTTTAAAAACATTTAGATTTGAACTCCATTTAGTTCTAAAAACTACTGAGTTTAATTCAGCCTTCTGGGCTGATTTAAGCTTAGTATATTATAAGAGTTAATTTCAGAATTAGAATAACTCCCATACTTTAAACTGAAAATTTAAAATGGACCAAAAATAAGGACCACCTTGAGGTAAATTATATTAATCAATCGCTTACAAGAGAACATATCTTGAGAGTGATAAATTTATACTTCACTCTGAATAGGGAGATGTATACACTAGCAATAATGACTGAACTTCAGGAAATGTGTTTTAATTCTTTTTCTACCGACATCACAACATTTGACCCCATATAAAAGACAGTAAGAACTTGGTTTATTTAGTTTCTTCATACGCTGCTTGGTCATAAGCTGTGAGTTTATCAAAAATAAAACTAATGAAGCATAAATACTTCGTAAACTTGTTTAGTAAAAAATTACTTACATTGGAAATAAATAACAAAAATGCTGCTGAATATCATATAGTATAACAAGAACTTAACCACTTAACCTGAGCTTTGCTATTACTAAGAGTTTTTGCTTGCGCACATCAGCGTTGGTGTAAGATTTAATTCTCTGTTACTATCGTGTTTTTTTTTAAAAAAAACATAACTACTTCAATTTAAGTGTTTAATGACGCCCCTCACAGCCGACACTTTGTGAATCAACAAAAAAAGTAGCTCGAAAAACGTCCCTGATCTTCAGTCCCTTGTAAATCTTGAGGTATTTTAATCCTAGTTTCGTTCTTTGGTATAAGCTGCATTCTGAAATCGCCTGAAACGAATTTATTGAAAAAGATTATAAATAATTTTATTTTATTTTTGTTGGTCTTTACTTTTAGTTTAAATGTTTACTATATAATCCTGATAAGCATGTCCAAGAAACGATGAGTAGATATGCGTTAAAATTTTATATTTCTTTCCTAGTTTGATTATAACTGATGAGGGGCTGCATAGGGTCTTCTATAAATATGTCTTGATTCTTGCAGAAATCCTGCCACTTCAAGAACCAGAACCAAAGCACTCAAAAGAAAGACGAAAATCTCTCCTTCAGAAGAAGGAAGAAACAGAGCATATTTAGATTACGCAGAGTAAAAATCTACTTATAAAATGGGAATAATAAAAACCAAATTGAACAGATGGAAGGAATTCTGGAGGAATATTATAAATCTCTATTTTAACTAACATTTATTTTAAGTTTAAACTATCTTTCCTGTCAAGCCTTACTTTCCCCTGGAACTGCCAATGCCAGAATATGTAAATTTTGAGTAGAACGCGCAAGGATTCAAATTATCAGCGGAAGTATTCTGATTTAAATAGAAGAAAACGAGTTCGGTGTGATATATTCTTACTTAGCGAGCGCGGAGGTAGTTAGCGAGAATTGAAGAACCCCGCGTTGCGGCCTATGTGCTTGGCGGGAAGTAGTGGTAATCGTTCCAGTGAGCTTCAAGTCTGCTGAATTAGCAGCGGTATTGTAAAACGCAGTGAGTTAGTTATTTTAGAGAGCCTCGTAGTTAGAATCTTGTCTTTACTTTCTTTTCAGGTTATTATTTTTATTTGACTGCCAAGTTGGCACAGTCTGTAAGCTTCAAGAGGACGCAATTGTAATTTATTACGTTGAATAAAAAGGGACTTAAACCCTTCACTAGGCTCTATCTTTTATACAAGTTTTCACAGTCACCTCTTGGTTGCGTGCAAGTTGGAGGCGCGCAACGTTATAAGGTTTTTAAAACAACTCAAATCAAATTACCAACCAATAACCCAAATTTCACATAGTTACATATCACATCATATTTATCCAGGATTCTTCTGAAAATGATGAGTCAGAACAAGCCGAAGTCACGATAACTCAAAGCATTCGAAATTCCGAGGAAGACCACTATTTTACTGTTTAAGAAATATTCAACATAATCAAATTCCTTTTAAAAAGGCGCTAGGACTGAACGGGATTGGACGAGAACCGGTACTTTCAGCATGGTCTGGACGGGATAAATAATAAAATCATAAAACTAATTCAAAAGGCCTCACTCAGATTACTTGCAGACTTATTCAATGCCTTCAAGTGGGAGTCTTTCCAGATGTCTTCAAGACAGGACATATCATCCTTTCCTCCAAAACAACCAAGATCCATTAGCTCCATGCTCATATCGACCTACCAGTTCCCTGCCAGGAATTGGTAATGTTCTAGAAAAAACCGTTGTCAGAAGACCACTTTCATAAATTTCAAATACTCAGCGAAAATCACTATGCATTTGTGCCGAATCGTTCTACATGCTGCACATAAAATCTTGAGAACAATACAATACAATAAATCACAAAATCTTCTTTAAAAAAGCATTTGATTCCGTTTGGGGCCTCCCGTACTTCAAGCTCTCAAACAGATAAACATCACAAGAAGCATCTATATTATTATTTTCAAAAGCTATCTGTTCAACATGAGAAGAATAATCCTCCACAATAACCGAACAGTAAAAAAGCGCCATACAGGAGAATGTTCTCGAGGATCCTGTTTGAGCGTGGATTCCTGTATTCTTACTTTTAACTCTATCGTATCACATCAATGACCAAATCATCCAAAAGAGTTGGCAGACGATATTTCATTTATCATCTCTGGTAGAATAACAGAACAACAACTCAAAGACAATACCAGCCATACTTGCGCAATCTTCAAAGCTGTAATACACAAACCTAACAATTTCAGAGGAAACATTAAAGCGATAATATTTCACAAGCCTTGACAAACCATACAAAGAAAACCAGCCTTCAAAAATAAACGAAAGAGAACAAAGATTGCTAATTGGAACTTCTTGGAATTACAACAGATGTAAAACTCAACTGGATAGAACACATTCAAGATATTAGAATAGAAACTTCAAAAATAGCCGTTTCTATGAGAAGAATGAAGGGATATGACTGGGGTTTAAATCCTCATATCCAGAAGCTACATTCAACACAGTGATAGAGAAAATTGTTAATTGCGAAACTGTTATCTGAGCTATCCTGATGATAGAAAGGAAGAAGTTACAGCTCCGTGTCATTCAATGACCATTTCTTTTCAACATAACAAAATATTTCCGCACCACTTCCAACTCTGCACTATGCGTACTCTCCACAATATCTCCTTGTATCTTCAACTGGTGTTAGAAGAGTTTAAAATCAAAATATTACATCTTAGAAATCAAGCTTCCTTACACGGACTTTTATCAGGGCGATAGAAATTACAGTTAGTAACAAATGCAGTCAGCTCGCAATTCAATCAGATTCTTTTTTTTTTCGCTGCATACAGGTGACGGAGAACTGGGACACCAGGTGTCTAACAAAGGTAAGCAGGTATATGTCCCACTCCCTCCACTATTTTAAACCGGCAGCTCTCGAGACCCAGGAGGTCTGTCTCGGGAATGCATTTGCTTTTCTGTTAAGTCGCATGTCCCAACCGGGACGTGGATGATGTTATGGGTTAGCTGCATGAGTATATAAGCATTAGCTGTTAGAATGCATTCGTTATGCTCTTGGGCGCACGTGACTATTATTCTTAACATACATCAAATACCACTACTAATAATAATACTAATAATTCTTAAATACATCAAATACTTGCAATACTACATTAAATATGATTCGTCACTTAGATAAATTAATGCATTGGAAACATGATTAAATTACATGGATACATTGTTTATGTACTCGAGAGCTTGATTACAGTAAGACACTTGGATACATTAAACCTGTTTACATTCAACTGCTTTTCGCATTAAACCTGTTTTTCGCTGCATGCAATAGGGAACTTCTCCAATTGCGCAATAAATGTTTTCTCTCCTCCAACAAAATAACCAAATTAAAATTTCGCTGTAGGATGGATGAAAGCACATGTAAGGAAAGAAGATAACGCAAACGTCGACACATTTTTTTAAGCTGCAGCTACTACTCCTGATTCCGATGATATGAACTTAAAATGGCCTATATCATACTTAAAAAAAGAAGCACACAAGAAAATAAATCAAATCTGGCAAAACGAATGGAACACCGTTTCCCAAGGCAAGAGAACATATGAACTAATCAACGTAAGAAAAGAGAAAAGATGTCTCCCCAACCCCCTTTTAAATCAATTCATATCTGGGCAGGAACCCTTTCCCACTTATTACTACTAAAGATATATCTCTTTCTCAGACAACTGCGGTTGCGGCAACAGAGGATAACACTGCATCTTGTCATACCATTAACACAAGCGTTAGAACAACTACATAAGAACATGAATTTAAAAGATAGGTTATAAATAATCGAAAATTTCATCATAAATTGTTATATAATACTTTTCGCAAAAAGGGCAAGCTATTTGTGAGCAATAACTGTTACGAAAAAGTCTTTATATTAGTATTCTTCTCAATAATAAGCGTATGAAACTGTTTTGGAAAGTGTGCACGGAACGTTTGTAGCAACACGGGGATATCAATGGACCAGTAGCATCAAAGGGTCCTGGTGTCTCGTATGCTTAGTCCTGTAGTGTTAAGTTAAGCAGTCACAAAAGGCGGTTTTGTCTGTAGCACCACTAATGGCTTTAAGACTAAAGTTAAGACTACCTCATTAAGACTAAAATAAAAAGGTTATTTTAGACCTTCAGTAGTTTGCGAGTATTTAAGACGTAGAGATAACTCACTGCCTATCTATAAGGATCTGCAGGACTTTAACTATAGATCCAGCTAAAATAGCTGCTCTACAAGTAAGTGATTTAAACGTTAACAAACTTAGTGCAAAATATTGTTACGAAATGTACAGGCGCGGTAAGATGGCTTCCCCGCAAAGCAGTTTTAGGGTTGCCATAAAATGGCGAGGGTAGGCAGGGTTGCC